AAAAAAAAAAAAAAAAAAAAAAAAAAAAAAAAAAAAAAAAAAAAAAAAAAAAAAAAAAAAAAAAACCCCAAACATCTGCAAAAACAGCAAGTTGAGCACGTAAGTAGTCTATGTAACCACCTATATTCCTGTTACCATCATCATACTCCTTCAGATTGTTATACTTACTTGTGTTTTGTTTTAAATTAGATTGTCTACTCTGTGTGTTTGCACAGCACATGACACAATGGGACCTCCAATTCTGACTAGAGCTTCTGGACACTACTGTAATATGTAATACACTTTTCTACCCAATTATAACATAGTATGTGTAGTATTTGAAATTTTGCACACTTTGATCAGAGAAGTAGGAACACAGCTGTTTTATGTACCGCAGGGTGTGGGTAGGCTTTGGCAGAGAAACAAAGGGAAAGTGTCATATTGCAAGAGCAAGTGCTAGGGGGAAAAAAATCACAGCAGTGGATTTGTCTCCAGGTCCCAGTGATCTTTCAAGAAAAGTTTACTGAGAAAAACGAAGTGTGTAGACTTGAATTTCCCCATCACTTCAGGGGCAAGTTCCAATGATATTACTTGAGTGAAAACCATTACCTGCACTCCAGTCTTCTTTTCAAGGAAGGCGCTCTCAGCCCTTTCATGTGATCTAACAGTAAGATATAAAGTTCATAACAACTTTATTTTTTTTTAAAAAGTTACCATACATCACAGCTTTTATATTTAAGAGTAATAGAAAAAAATCACAGGTAGGTTTATTATTTATAGCATAGTGCTATATAGTAAAATAAGAGACTATGATTCCTGTCCTGTGAAAAGCTAACCATCTCAGGCCCTGATCCTACAATGAGTTCTATGAAGGCAAACCCCTGTGCCAGTTGCAAGTTCTTTGCATGATTCTACAAAAGAATATTCTCCCCAACAGCCCCACCTAAGTTTGAAGCCCCAAAATAAACATGATAGACAGAAACAATGATAAGGGGGATGGATTTATAAAAAGTAGTCTGGTTTTGTAGTTACTCCTGGGGGGATTCTGCATCACTGCACATGCGCAGAATTCATGTCCCCACAGATGTGTTTGCTTACCCACAGAAAAATGACTTTCTGACAGGGAAGCTGTAAGAGCAGTCATGCAAGTACATAGTTTCAGACACCCAGAGCAGCCAGCGGACAGGTAAGTCGCCGTGGGGCTGGAGACACCCTAGCCAGTGGCTCCTACCTTGAGCCAGGATCAGCTGCTAGTCCCAGCTGGGCTGGAGGCAGGAGAGGACAGGACTTCCTTTTCCCTTGCAAGAAGTGGCTGAGGCTGTGTCAGACACCCTCCCAGAAACCTCCCCCATCACTCCTCAGCTGTGGGGGAAGGGCTCACTGTGTGGGGAGCTGCTCCCCCATCCACCCAACCCACATGTATCTGGACCGCCCATACCCAGACACCCCTGCCAAGCCTCACCCAGTACATCCAGAACTCCCCTAGTCCTCCATACCCAAACCCCACCCCACTGAACCTCAACCCTTGGATCTGGAAACCCCCTTCACCCAAACCCCCTGCCTCCAGACCCCTACCCCTGCACCCAGACCAACACCCACTGCGCTCCCTGCACTCAAATCCCCACCCTGATGCCCCACCCCCTACACCACCCTGTGCCCTCACATCCAAACCCCCATGCTACTCATCCCCAACTAGCTGCACCCAGGCCTGCACCCCATCAAGCTCCACTGCCCCAGCCCCCCCGCTTAGACCCACACACCCAGACCCCTCTGCTGAGCCCCAACCACCTTCACCTAGAAGCCCCTGCAGAATCCCATTGCCTCTGCACCTGGAACCCCCGCAACGAGCCTCTGTACATCCAGGTCCCCACTTATACCCCCCACTGAGCTGCCTGCACCCAGACTATCCCACACAGAATCCTCTCACCCCACACCTGGATCACCCCACACCGAGCCCCTCCACACTTGGATCCTGCCTGGTTGAGTCTGCCTGCCGCACACCTGGTGCGCCTGGCGCAGAGAGGCAGCGCCCCAGGGTGTTTCTGGGGCAGGCCCAGGCCTTGTGCTGTGTCACGGTTGGGTGCAGCCTCACCGCTGAATCCGTGTCCTGGGGACGGGGAGGCTGCAGAGTGATCTCCCACCTTTGTGCAGCCAGTGGCCTGTGCTCCCCATTGCTACGCTAAAGCCTCTTCATTTATTTGACAAATTAAATGTGAAGAATTTTGGAGAATTTAAAATATTGTGTGCAGAATTTTTGTTTGTTTTTTGGCACAGAATGCCCTCAGAAGTATGTAGTGTACATCATTACAGAAGTTTGTGCTACACAAAGAAAGGAGAGAAATTTCCACCCCTTGAAATTAAAAATCAAAAAAAGAGTGACTCCCCAATCAGGTGCAGAAAATCTATGGTTACGATACAGCATTCAGCCTGAATGTCCTCTCAGATACAATGACATGTTGCTCTCGTGCATGGCATGAAAAAAAGGATGATTGTTTCTTTAAAAAAAATAAAACCGTAGCACTATATCCTGCTGCATTCTAAAGGGAAATTGATTTTCAATTTTCCATTCCTGATACACATGGTTACATTTTACCTCTACCTTTGTATTAGCTGTATCACTTGGTTATCAATAACACACCCTTCAAATTAGTCTAGCTGGGGTGGTGCACAGCGTAACATGTCCAGAAAGGACATGATGGGAAACGGGGGCTGCAGCACAGATCTGAGGTAGGGAGAACTTGGGGCAAACTTTGGATCAAAGTGGTACAGCTCCACACACAGAGGCCATGGGGAAGTGGAGGAACGGGGCGGGGACCAGAGCCGTCGTTAGGCATATGCAGCTGCGTAGGGCACCCAAAAATTTGGGGCACCTAGTTGGCCGCAGCTGGACTCCTCTCATCTCCAGCCCCTTCCCCATGCTGGGCCTGTGGGCTCCCCCAACCCCTCCCTCACTTGCTTAGATGGCTGAGGGCCCCAGCCCCCAGGAGCCCAGAGCGGTGCAGTGGCCTGGCCCACGGCTGCCCAGGACCTTGCCTGCCTGCGCACTCGGTCTCTGGCGGGGGCCAGGGCAGGACAGGAAGACCAAAACTTCCACAGTGGGGGAGAGAGGGGAGAGAAGAGAGAAGCCAGGGCAAGGGGGGGGGGGAGGGGGAGACTTAAAGTGACAGTGCGCTCACGGTCTCTCTCACTTCCCTAACACATACACACTGTCTCTCTCACACAGACTGGCTCTCACACCCACATACACTTTGCCTCTCACAAGTCACAGTCCCCCAGTACAGATTGTCTCTCTCACACAGTCTCACACTCCCCAACACACATTCTGTCATGTGCACACACACACAGTTGTATTATTGTTGTTATTACTGCTTGGTACTTCCTGTCAAAATGCTAGTGGTGAGCCAGGAATGACTAGGGGCTGCAGGAGGGCTGTGGGTTCTGGCAAGATGCAGCTCTCACGTGACAGCAGGAAGCCGGCCTTGACCCACTGCCTGCGTAGGAAGCTCAATGTGTGTTAGCAATGGGGCAGAGGGTTCTGGGGGGGGGGGGTCCATGGGCGGGGGCTGTGCCCCTGCAACACACTGGGGTCAGTGGGGCTGGCTGGGGACCATCTTCAGTGGAGCATTAGGGCACCAATTTAATAATACTGTGTAGGGCCCTATAAATCCTACGGACGGCCCTGGCGGTGCCCAACAGCCCCACACAGGGAGGCCAAGGGGAAGTGAAGGGGGGGTGGCAAGCAGCCCCACACAGGGAAGGGATTTTTGGGGTGTGAGGATCAACAGCTCCGAACTGAAGAGGGGGAAGTGGAGGGGGGTGAGGAATGATTCTGGGATGGGAGGCGGAGCAGAAGGGAAAAGCTGAAGCTCAGAGCCGGGGGAGGAGAGGATGACAGGGTCTCCGGGAGGTAGAGTGACCAGCTGTCCCGATTTTATAGGGACAGTCCCGAAATTTGGGGCTTTTTCTTATATAGGTGCCCATTACCCCCCGTCCCGATTTTTCACACTTACTATCTGGTCACCCTACAGGGAGGACAGCAAGCGCGCGGAGCGGGGGAGGGCAGCGGCGAGCGCCAGGCAGGCGGGAGGGTCTCCCCAGGAGGGGGCGGCGGACGCCAGGCCGGCGGGCGGGAGGGTCTCCCCGGGAGGGCGGCGGCGGCGGGCGCGCACGCGGGAAGGAGGGGGAAGATGCGCAGCACCAGCGAAGCGGCTGGCGCGCGGGGCTGGCGGGACCTCTCGCGCCTCACCCTTGTGGCAGTGGGACAGGAAGTAGGCCCGGGCCCGCAGGTTCTCCCGGTCGAAGCGGTCTATGGACAGCCACGGATACTCCCGCATCCGACCTCCGAAGCTGCTCATGGCGCAGCCCTACTTCTCGGCCTCCATCCGTCCACCATCCCCGCCTGCCCCATTGGCTGCGGCCCAAACCAATCACAGAGCCGCCTTTGCAACCCGTCCGCCCACGAGGAAAGGGCCGGGGCGGGGCCTTTTCTTAAAGGGCCAGTAACAGAAACGACTTTTCTACTCCGGCTCTTGCCGTGAGGTTTGGAGCTACTGCTCTGTCCGTGTGAACCCGAGGACTAAAGGGCCCTGCAGCATGGGGAGAAGGGCGTGCAGCATGGGGGAAATTTAGGTAATTAGTAACTGACACCATTAGCATCTACATCATTAATAAAAACAAGAAGGAGTCCGGTGGCATTTTAAAGACTAACAGATTTATTTAGGCATAAACTTTCATGGATTAAAAAATCAATGGGTTTTTTTACCCACGAATGCTTATGCCCAAATAAATCTGTTAGTCATTAAGGTGCCACCGGACTCCTTGTTGTTTTTGCGGATACAGACTAACACGGCTACCCCCTGATACTTTACATCATTAATAATGACTCTTGGTAACTGAATAATATTGAGTATGGATAATTACTGTATTAGGAATTCATTCCCTGCCTTAGTGCAGTGTTTGTTGCTTTGTAAATGCCTATCATGAATAATTATAATTAGTCCATTAGTAATTGGTTGTGAGTAGTTATAATTAATTCAGTAATTGTGAAATATAAGTAAGTTATATTAGTAATTGTTTTGCTCCAACAATGTCCATTAGTATTTGTTATTATGACATTCGTTTATTTTGTGGGTGAGGAGCAAACTATTGAATTCTCAAAAGTGCTGTGCATTGTTTTTAGTACTTTGGCCCAGACCAACTCCTATGAGTTAGGCTCCTAAATACCTTTGAGGATCTGGACTTTTGTCTCTGTTCACAGCAGGTTCAGTGCCCTGTTCAGAGTGAGGGGGGGAAATGTAATTATTGCCAAGCACTAATCTGTTAGCTATTTATACTGATGTTATCACCAGGGTGGTATATCTAATTTTATATGGGGGGGGGGGGGAGATTAATGCAGGGGACCGGAAGTCAGACAACATGGATTCTTTTCCCAACTCTACCTTTGGCTCATTGTGTAACTTTGGTCAAGTCACTTACTCCCATTTTCAAAAGTGACCTGCCCAATTGAAGACCTAAATATCTGCAACCCAACACTTCAAAATGGAGCTGCCCCTTTTGAAAATCGAAGGGGTAGCTGTGTTAGTCTGGCTCTGTAAAAGCAGCAAAGAGTCCTGTGGCACCTTATAGACTAACAGACATAGTAGAGCATGAGTTTTCGTGGGTGAATACCCACTTCTTTGGACACATGCATCCGAAGAAGTGGGTATTACCCGCGAAAGCTCATGCTCCAATACCTCTGTTAGTCTATAAGGTGCCACAGGACTCTTTGCTCCTTTTGAAAATGTTGGTTATAATCTTTCTTCCTCCGGCTCCGCCGCTGAAAAGGCCAGTAACACTTGCTTCCTTTACAGGGGTACATTTACTACAGTGCTCTGGGATGCACACGTGCAAGCTCTATGCAGAAGCCTGATCTTCCCATTTCAGCTCCGGCTGCTTGCAGTGGGAGCACGGGGAGGATGGTCCCCAGCCGCCTGAGCTGTGTAATAACACACGGGTCTGACAGCACATACCCAGCTGCACCCGTTACAGTCCTTATTCCTCTTCCAAAGTGCTGCGCTGCCCGGCCGCGCGCGCGCAGCTCGTAGTACTGGCCCCGCTCCCGGGGTTCGCTGCCGGTTGGCCCAGGGTCCCCGGGAAGGCTTCTCTCGGCCTTGCTCGAGCGCCGGCGGTTGCTAGGCACCCGCACAACCGCCGCCGGACGACCCGAAGAGGCGGCGCCCGTCCCGAGGGCGGGAGCGACCCGGCGAGACCGTTGGTGAGTGGCCGCGCGGCGCCCCCGTCCCGACCCTCGCCACAGGCGGAGCCCGCCCAGCCCCGGAAGGGGAGCAGGGTGCTGCTGAACGCCCCCTCCCGGCTCAGGGGAGCAGCGTGGCCTTGGGGTGCCTTTAAAAAGCCCCGGCTCCTGGAGTCCTGTGACGGGGGGGTTCTTTAAAGCCACAGCTCCTGGAGGCCTGGGATTAAGGGGAGATTTTTCCCTAAAGCTTCAGCTCCTGTGCTTATGGGTTTAGGGGAGAGTCTCGTCTTTCATTTAAAAAATATAATTTTGGGGGCTGGTGGTTTCCACAAAAAGCTTAAAAACATGACCCATGTGTCCCTCCTCGCAGCTCAGGCTGCAGAAGGCAAATGATAAGAAAACCATTAGAATTCTTTAAAATCTTCGGATTTTCAAGCAACTCTCATGATTTTGGTGGGGCCTGACTCATGGATTTTGCATGTTTGGGGTTGGCAGGGACAGGGGTTGTTATGTGGGGGGGGGGGACGAGAAGGAATTGCACTGTATTTTTGTTGCCTTGTATTTTTGTTGTTGTTTGTTTATATCTCTTTGTCCATCTTGTCTTTTAGACTGTAAGCTCTTCAGGGCAGGGCTCATAAGAACCGCCTTAGTGGGTCAGACCAATAAGGCCCATCTAGCCCATTGTCCTGTCTCCGACAGTGGCCAGTACCAGAGCTTCAGGGGAAGTGTACCGAACAGGGCAATTTTGGGGAGATCCACCCCACCTTCCCCTCCTGACTTCTGGCAGTCACAGATGTAAGGTTACCCTGAGCATGGGGTTGTATGTCTGACCATCTTGGCTAATAGCCATCATCTTCTCTGTGTGTACAGTGACCAGTACAATAGAGCTTCAACCCTATTTGGGACCTTTAGGCACTACCAGAATTCATATAATTAATAATTGAGTCAAACACAATGTGGGGTCCTATCCTGGGTAGATGATATCTTGTCTCTCTCTCACCCCTTGGCAACTTTTTTGCCAGTAGAGCCCCACTGAATTGAAATGGTCTGACCTGTCTGCTGGTACTTCTACTCATTACTGCCTGACTCCTGCTTTGGGTATTGCTGCCATAAATATGTTCAAACATAAGACAAACGTACAAGGTTCAGAGGATAGGTAGGCTGGTTTCCAAACTGGGCTGACCTTTAGGCACAGTTTTGTGCCACGGTAGACTTGCCCTTTTCTTTTCCTTTCTGAATTTTAAGGAAATACGTGGGAGAGCAGGGGGGGAAATTAGGGGGAGAGGTGTGGTTACATAACAGACTTGGTGAAAGTGGGAACCGGCAGAACATTTTTAAAACACAGGAAAACAGGAGTAGTAATCTGCTTTCAAAATCAGAAATCTGTGCACACATCTATTCTAGGATGTTTGTGTTCGACTATTGTACATAACCCAAGAAGATACAGGATTCCACCACTTACAGAATTTATTTATTGATGTCTCTGTAATGGCAATCACTGTAGAGTATTTCCCAGTACCACATAGTGGGATGTGAAATTGCACAATTTCCCCCTAAATTAGAAGAGTAATACGAATGGTAACCCTGTGGTGTCTGTTGGCAAATTGAGCTTTTTGACTGATCACTTTGGGCTGTCTCAACTGCACATCAGTATAAGTGATTTACCTATTAAACTTAGATAAAAGGTTTGACATACCAACTTGAAAATTGTAATATTTGTGTTTTACTTGCATGCACTGACTTGGCACTTTGGCCCAGAGCCTCAAAGGTATTTAGGCTCCAAACTTCTATTGTCTGGGCCTTTATGTGTATGATTTGCCTGTGTTTTCACAGGAGCTTTTATGGAAAGTCTTCTTGAATTAATAGATAGTTAAAAGAACAGGAGTACTTGTGGCACCTTAGAGACTAACAGATTTATTAGAGCATAAGCTTTCGTGGACTACAGCCCACCTCTTCAGATCCGAAGAAGTGGGC